TGTTCTGCAGTTCTTCACTGATTTTCTTCTTCTTTCCAGCAATTTTCTGGGCTCTCTCTCTCTCTCTCTCTCTCTCTCTCTCTCTCTGTCTCCCCTTTGTCGGAAGGTGACGGTTATGTGGCGTAATCTCGATGTTGTGCTCAGCTGTGAGCCTATCAGATAGTCTATGGCGATTGGCGACGAAAATCTGGGCAAAGGGACTGCAATCTGTTTTATTTGCAATTTCGGTCCTGAAGGAATAAGGGGTTTGCGTATTTTTCCCTGGAAAATTCTATTTTGCACAATCGTCCCCTGAAAATCATTGTTTTCAAAAATCAGACCGCCCCGACCAATTGGACAGGAAACTTGTCCAATTCGCTAGAATCTATACTTATATAATAAGGTATACCATTTACGAAATTTAGTAAGTTGAAAAGTCAATGCAATAAATGCATTACTATTTTGAGTAACATAATATAATATTATATCTATACTTATATAAAAAGAGATTCTATTTACTACATTTACTATCCAGAAAAGTCAACTGCATTAAATGTCATTACTATTTTGTTATTATAATATTTTATTTATTTAATTGATTTATTTATTTGTTTTATTTTAAAAAGGTAAGTATAATAAAAAGATTTTAATAATAAAAAAATCAAATACCAAATAAAAATGTACACTTTGACTTATTTGATTATATTTGGTATTTGATTATACCAAATATATTCATATTTAGTATATACATTAAATACTTACTAAAGTATTTATTTGTTTTATTTGTCAAAGTTAAGTATAGATTTGTTTATATTATCAAATCATAAAAAAAATATTAAATCCATATTGTAAAAAAAAATCATATAATTTTATAACAATTCTACTACACTATTTAACAATATTCCTTTTCTATTATATAATAAAATAATAATTAAATATTATATGGTGAACAACAATAAGTAAAATTGTTACTTCCTCTTATATCAAGGAATAAATTTATATGCTAAAATTAAATTTTTATTAGTATAAATATTTTAGTGAGATAATATATTAATTATTTTACAAGCTAGCCCTAACATACTCATATTTAATGTTTTAAAAGATGTAGAAAAAAACTTATAATAGCTCTATTGTTTATTAGACTTAAACGTTGATTAAAAGAGGTAAAAATTCCTAATTTTTTAGACTTAAACGTTGATTAACACCATAGATTAAGAGTCTATATTTAGTAAAATTCCTAATTGTAATAAAAAAATTAATTTTTGCTATATTTTAGAATATCTTTTAATTCATTATAAAAAAAAAGAAAAAAAAGCTACAATGAAAAAGGCAAGTCAGCTATATATCGATTTGTTGTACTCCTCAAATCACATTCACAATTTGCCAGTAGTCTTGAATATTATAAAACTTTTATTGAACATTGTACAATTTTCTTGCGTATTATAAACTTTTATTGAATATTGCATCTTATAATATAATATTCTCTAAATAAATATACCCCGTTCTTCGCACGGGTCACGTACTATATATATCCCGTATATTTTTCTGTATTCATGTATATAATTATAAGCCTGGATAAATAGCCTTAGAATTGTGCACCCCGTATATCGCACGGGCTCTGTACTAGTTGGAAATCAACAAGCAGTTGCGCTACTCGTGCTATTCAAAATCAGATTTTAACGCCTTAAAGGCACCAAACATTCGTCTGACCAAGATCGTGTTGTTCTAAATGCAATCAAAGAGCCACTAACATAGGATGTATTATTCATTACCATATTTAACCACCTTTTAAGACACTCAACAATTGTCGATCCCAACTCAAATTGTCCAAAATACGATTTTGATGCTTTAAAGGCACTTTACACTCATCTAACCTAACTCAGTAGTTGTCAAACCGTTAATCAACTAGAGATATGCCTGATCGCGTTGTACAAAATTATTTTTTCAATCCTTAAAATCACTTGCATTCAATTTCAAAAAAATAAATCAAGTTGACTGGGTGAATTTTTAATTCCTACATTAGTGATTTCAGATTGTTTAAAAAAGAAAAACTTTTGATTAAACCTAAAGAAAAGAAATAACAAAATCACGAGCTTTATGCCACTATATGTGGAAAACAATTGACATTAGGATCAACATAATTAGACATGTTTTTATCCATATCTATACTTATATAAAAAGTCATCATATTTACTAGAAATAATAGGCAGAAAAGTCAAAGGTAATTAATGCATTCTATTTTCATCAAATTTTTCAATTGTATTATTATTTTATTGCTAAAAAATCGGTTTGCATTAATTCATCCTTAATTGATGTGTTTTGCAATAAAATCGGACAGATAGACTTCAAGTAAAAACATGTCTTATTTCAAATTTAAATTTAAATATTAAAATTTCTTATCATTTTGTTACATTAAAATCCTGAATGAATTGTTTGCCATAAAATCGGACAAAATAATGATTCCATAAAATTCAAGTAAAAACATGTCTCATTTAAAATTCCTTATCATTTTGTTACATTTCTGAATGATTTGTTTCCCATAACATCGGACGGAATTAATAATTGCATAGAATTCAATTATGATTTTCGAATTTAATTTAAAAAAAAATATATATGTATAATAAAAATAGACAATTTACATGTTCTTTTTTTTAAATGATTTACATGTTAGTTTTGATACTTCAAAGTCTTCATAATCTTATACAGTATTTATCATAGATATTAATCACATAAGAGCACGTTTGTTAGGTAGACTAGATTGAATAATTTTTATCTTGTGGTCCAAGATTGTACTGTTGAGACTATGTGCAATCTATATTTGTTAAGAAAGATTAGTCCAAGATAGGATATTGTTAATTTTTGTATTCCACATTTGTTTGACAAGATAAGATATAAGATAAAAATTGTCAATTACCAATATGCCCTAATTTTAAAATATATATTAATAAACCCACCAGTCCCACCACACTTTTTTACTGTTCATGTCTTCTTTTTTTCCAAATCGATCAAACTAATTTCATTCCAACAAAAACAACTTACAAAGATTAATCCATCCAACTGGATTTACAAAATACCAGGAAAAGAACAACAGAGCCCTACAAAGCTGAAACCCCACAACAAAAACTACCCAGTCGATTTTTACAACTCAAAAACCAAAGGAAACTACAAACCAACCAACACCCAACTAAGCAAACCACTGCCAAAACAAACTAGAACCAAATAAAACATTGAAGAAAAGAACCACCGACAAGCATAGAGCTTTCCCTAGTCCTTCTCAGCAGCAACCTACACAGAAACACCAAACACTGAGCTGCAAAAACAAAAGTCGAGCTAATTCAAATGTGGCTGCAAGGGCTATAAAACAGTCGAGCTAATTTGAGCAATGACATTATCAAGCTGTCCTGGCTTTTTTTAACTTGCAC